CAGAGTGTTTCCTCTATGTCCTAAGTATCTGATCACATCTCTTCTCTGGAGAAGAGAGGGAGTTGGCGGAAGGAGGGTTGAAACTCACTGAAACTGGTTTCCTCCCCTCCTCGCTTAGTGTCTAGCGGATTAAGGGCGGGCCACTTAATCCTGTGAAACGGAATAAGGATCCCAGCTTCAGGAAGTTAAGGTGAGAGTTCAGGAAGGCAGGCGCTTTTCAACTCCCAGGAGTTACCAGGTGCCTGGTTTTGCCTTGGGTTTTTAATTCCGTGTTTCCCCGAAAATAAGACATCCTCCAAAAATAAGACCTAGCGCATGGAAAGATAAGGCATCCCCTGAAAATAAGACCTAGCGCAACTTTGGGAGAAAAAAAAATTAATATAAGACACTGCCTTATTTTCGGGGAAACAGGGTAGTAAGAAAACATGTGTTATTTCACGAACCAGAAGAGTGACAGCTGAGACTGCTTTGCAAATGTGTTTGATAAGCATGATTGGTCTTTAAAACAGAATAAGGTGTGGGAGAATCCAGGGGACGTGAAGGTGAGCCTGGTCAGCAGTGCCCTGTATTTTTATTGATTTCAGACAGGAAAGGAGGGGGGGGGGATATCAGTATATTGTTCCACTTCTTTATGCACTCATTAGTTGATTCTTGTATGTGCCTGACTGGGAATTGAACCTGCAACCTTGTCTATTGGGACGATGCTTCTAACCAACTGAGCTACTTGGCCAAGGCTAGACACTTTTTTTTTTTCCTCCAATAGAGAACCACTTTTGCTCAAAGAATGAGAAATTATTCATATCTGGAGAATTAGAATTTTCTAAAACAACAACAAGTGAATCTGTGACTTCAAGGAAAAAACTAATGGCATTTACTGCCAATTAACTTGTATCCTGAGATTTTCTCAGTATTTAAAGATAGAGAGTAAGATTTTGATACTGTATAGTGAAGTGTTTTTAACATTTGGAAGTCTGCATAATTCCCTGAACCAATATTTTCCAAAAGACCAATGCAGGAAATTACAAAACCAGGTAGGGGTAACAAATCAATTCAAAGCATTAAATAGACCAGTGGGTTTTAATATACTGGGTTCTGAAAATTTCATTGATATGGCTTCTGTTCTTATGGCAACTAACCTTTAAGAAACTATCATTTGTTGAGTTTTGGACATTAAAAACTAGTATCTGGAATGATCTGAAAAGGATTTTTAAAGACCAAACCCTTTTCCCACTATTTTGTTGTGTGTGTATGTATTTTCTTCATATATTTCAATTAAAACAACAGATCAAGGCCAAAGGCAAATGTTAATATGTCCTTTGGATTTAAATGAATTAAGATGTTAAACATTTCTCACCCAGCTGGAGTTGCTCAGTGGTTGAATGTTGACCTATGAACCAGAAGGTCACAGTTCGATTCCTGGTCAGGGCACCTGCTCAGGTTGCTGGCTCAATCCCCAGTGTGGGCTGTGTAGGAGGCAGCCAATGGATGATACTCTCTCATCATTGATGTTTCTATCTCTTCCTCTCCTTTCCTCTTTGAAATCAATAAAACTATATTAAAAACACACACACACACATTTCTCAGTTTTGCTTTCTAATACAGCAAAATATTCTTAGTTATAAGCCACATAAAGAAAAGCTCTTTATAGCCCTCAATTTTTTCAGAGTATAAAGGAGTCCTAAGACCAGGAAACTTGAGAACTGCTGCCTTATACGTATTAACTTGAACTTGCAGTAGCAATATAATCGTGACTTAGAAAAGCTATATGCTGTAGGTGGTTAGAAATGTTTTGTTTTGCTTCTGTTTTTAAAGGCCATGCATTGTTAAAGCAATCCCATAATAGGGACAGTAGTGCCGCTTGGTGGTTAATAATTGGGTCCAAGAGGGGTGGTGGCTGCCATGGGTTAATTTGATAGTGCAATAAACACTCCACACTAGTGAGCATCAACGGTTAGCTAGTAACAGTAGTGAAATATGACATATTAACTCAATTATGAATTGTACACTAATAATAATTAGTATACTAATAAATTTAATAATAATATGAATTATTTAACTAAAAAGTTTTATATTCAATTAGAAATTTGTACCTTCATGCTTTCAAACCCTTAAAGAAGGGAAAGAAGAGATGAATAGAGTTGTACCTATTTCATATCTTCAGGGTTTGCCTTTCCCTGACTGTAGTCTCTTCAACCTTTAAAAACAAAAAAAAGCATACCTTTTAAATTGTTGCCTTTTATTTTGTTTTTGGGATTGAGAACTCTCTTTGAGTTTCAACTGTTCTGGTAGATCTAATTTCTTGGCTTCCTCGTGATCCCCTTGAATTTGCTAAAAGAGGTGACTTTGAGAATCCAAGTTCTTACCTGGACTCAGGTGTCAAGATTGGCTGAAAAATGATCTCCCAAAGGTCTCCTGAGGGATGCTTGAAGAGAAGCTTGGGTCTTTTCTGTAACATGGCACACCCTGGATGCCTCCCTTCCAATCCTGACCCTGAGCATGGAGCCAGAGATGTGTCAGTGAGAGTTCTCTCCTGCTTGTTTGGGAAAGTTAGCTGGGACCAAGGGCCTTGGGAACTTTGTAGGACTCTATCTGATACTGGGGAGCAAGCCACTGATCTGACAGATGTCCCCACGCTTTCACCCACCTTATTTCTTTCTTTGTCCTAAAGATCTAAACCTTTTATGGCTCATAAAAGGGTGTTAAAGCATATGTTTTCAGAAGGTAGGTTCCCCTCTTCCCCCCCTATAATTTGGACTTTAAGGATTACTAGAAAGCTGCCATCTCTGGCATTTTATTATTTTTTTAAATTTTTTTATTAAAATATATTTTATTGATTTTGTACAGAGAGGAAGGGAGAGAGATAGAGAGTTAGAAACATCGATGAGAGAGAGTCATCGATCAGCTGCCTCTTGCACACCCCCTACTGGGGATATGCCCGCAACCCAGGTACATGCCCTTGACCGGAATGGAACCCAGGATCCTTCAATCCCCAAGCCGACGCTCTATCCATTGAGCCAAACCTGTCTCGGCTACCTCTGGCATTTTAATTTAGAATTACTGTTATCTACTCAAGACACTGAGTTGAGTGTGGCAGTAGGCTAAATTCAGATCCTAAACTGGAAATGTTTTCAACTGTGGTTATCTTTTCTCCTTTCATGGTGTACAATATACAGTGGTTGAAATCTGGGTTATCTCTTTTGAGGGTACGGCACCAGAGTCGGCTCTGAAGGTTCATCTGCCAGTTCTGCTGGAAGTCTTACAACTGAGGGAAGTAGAGGCCACGGGGCTGTTTGCAAGTTCTAAAGGCTTGACACTAGAAGGTGGGAAGTTTGCAAGTTGTGGGGCTCTGATTTACTCCTGTGACATGCCTACCTTGTTGCTGGGGATGGAATGGGGAAAACGGAAGCCCTGTATGCATTGTCCAGTCTCAATCCATGTATGATTGTACCATCTTTTTTTTTTAAAATATATTTTTATTGATTTTAAAGAGGACAGAGATAGAAACATCAATGATGAGAGAGATTTATTATCCCCCTCCTTCCTACATGCTCCCTATTAGGGGTTGAGCCCAAAACCCAGGCATGTGACCTCTTGATTCATAGGTCAATGCTCAACCACTGAGCCATTCCAGCAGAGCTAATTGGACCATCTTGATTGACCTCTTGAGGCTAGACCTGATTTCATGGTCAGTCAGTGCAAAAGTTGAAGGAGAGGAGGAGCCAGACTGAAATAAAATATGCATGATCTGAGAAGAAAATAGATTTTTCTAAATGATTCTTCCTAAAGTGATGGCATTGAAACAGAAATTAGTCACAACTTACTGAATATTGCTGGGGGCCATTTTACCCTAATCATCTGCTTTTCTAGTCTGGTTCATTCAAGATAACATTTGAGTGTTACTGGGCACTATGTTATTGTTATTGTTAAAATATACTTTATTGATTTTTTACCGAGAGGAAGAGAAAGCGATAGAAAGTTAGAAACTTCCATGAGAATCATCAATCAGCTGCCTCTTGCACGCCCCCTATGTTATTGTTATTGTTATTTTATTTTTTTAAAATATATTTTATTGATTTTTTACAGAGAGGAAGAGAGAGGGATAGAAATGTAGAAACATCAATGATAGAGAATCATCAATCAGCTGCCTCTTGCATGCCCCCTTTATATCCAAGGTACATGCCCTTGACTGGAATCGAACCTGGGACCTTTCAGTCTGCAGACTGATGCTCTATAGACTGAGCCAAACTGGTTTTGGCATGATATTGTTATTTTTAAAAGCATATTTTTATTGATTTCAAAGAGGAAGGGAGAAGAAGAGAGAGACATAGAATCATAAATAATGAGAGAATCATTGATCTGCTGCCTCCTGCATGCCCCAGCATGTGCCTCGACTGGGAATCAAACCTTTACCTGGTTCATAAGTCAACGCTCCACCACTGAGCCGTGCTGGTTAGGCGGCACTGTGTTATTTAATGTGGGGCCTATTTGTGCTCTGTGATGGAGCACAGACAGGTTGATAACAGTTGTAAATATTAAAGCCTTCTCTAGGATCCATTGACTTAGTGTTTTTGGTGTGTATGACCTTATATGTGGTAAAGTCCGTGGTGACATGAGAGCCCAGTTGATGCCAGCATTGTACACTTGCAATTCTAAATCTCCGTCCAGCTTTTGCTTGCCTGCACTTTGCATGAGGAGTAGTTTATCCCCCTTTCACAGGGTTCTGCTCCAGTGGGCTCTTGACTGGCACACTCAGCAGTCTCTCACGAATCCAAAATATGGCTTTGCTCGTGAGCTGACAATTTTTTTAAATTTTTTGTTTTTGAAAATATTACATATGTCTACTCCCCCCCCCCCCCCACTCCCCCATTGGCCTTTCCCTGCCCACTCCCTGGTGAGCTGACAATCCTAATGCTAATTCTGGTTAAGGAGTTTGTGTTATGAGGGACATAAAGGTTCCACAATGAACTCTGCTCCTTTTTTCTTGCAGGGTATTTGAGAAA